GCACACACAAAGGGGGTGCGGGCATCGGGGGTGCCTTGGCGCGACCCCTGGCCTGGGTCCGACCGGGCCCCGCCGCCTGACAAAACTACTGTTAGTATTATTATCGTTATTATTATTCTTTATTTGTAATCGCGCTTAAAACCCCCCATCCGAACCGCGCTCTGGGAGCTCCGTCCCCGCCGCCTGCGGGGATCCCGACGGAGAGTGCTGGGGATGCCCCCGCCCCGCCAGGGAACTGGGGGAAGACCGCGTTTTCCGGAATGGACGGCGGCTCCTCCAGTTGTCCTGTAGTGGCAGCGACTTGGCGTGACCGGGGCTGGTTTGCCACCGCGGTGGAGGGGTAGGAAGAGCCCCTGCCAGGAGCAGAAGGAGGGGGACGAAGTGTGTCGGAGGTGAGAAGGTCGGGGACAGGCTGCTGGGGGGGGTCCAGAGATGCAAACCTCCGTCGAGAGGCTGGGTTTGCACCCTTCTGTTCCGAAAATCGCATCGCTCCGGAGGTGGCTCAGCACTGGGATCTGCGCTCCGGGCACGGCCGATGAGTTTCCCTTCAGGCAGTTTGTCCTGAACCTTTACCTAAAAGTTTTTTTCTTGTTGTTGTTAGTTGATTTGATGTTTTTGTTGTTTGAGGGGTTTTTTTAGTTAGTTTTTTGTTTTGTTTTGTTTTGTTTTGTTTTTTAATGCTGGGTTGGTTCTTTTGGTCGGTGGGTTGTTTTTTTTCGTTGAGGGACTTCCTAGTTCCAGGGGCTGGCATGCACGCTTCCTGGAACAGGAACAGGCCGGGCATCTCTTTTGCTGCAGAAGAGGGAGATGGTAGGGGAAATTTGAAGAGTCAATTCGCACTTAACTTTGCCATTGGAAAGCGGAGAGAGGAAGAGGCCGCACTGGTGAAGCGTTAGTTGCTGAGATAGAGAGGGAGACACAACTTGGGCACTAAAAACTGATCAACTAGTGGCGCTTCTTACTCCCCGTGTAGGGATAATTTTTAAAATAATTGCTTAAAAATAATTACTTAACTGGCTAGTGGAAGAGTTGTTTTTTTGGTTTTACAAAATTAGCGAATTAAACCATTTCCTTGTGCTGCATGTTTGCTCATGTTTGTTAATACACTTGGTAAATCACTGAAGGGCACAGTGGGACCTCACAGTGGGACTAAAACCAAATCCATAGGGCTGCTGTGTGTTGGATCAGATGAAGATCATGTTCTTTTAATTCTGCTCTGCAAAAACTTCCTAATACCAGCCACATACACAAATGCTCCGGTCGTGGGGCTGAAGGTTCAAACTGTTTTCAGTCTAATTCTTTCACTGCAGCTGATTTTTCTTAAAGGTTTTTGGTGTCCTAGAGCACATAATATTGCACGTGGTGTGAAAATGCTTAATAATCTTCAGGGCGAGCTTGCTAAACTGACTTACTGCCAAGTAGCAACTGCCCTCCTAAGTAAAGTTGTGGGGGACCTGCTAGGTGGTGCTGTTCGATTTAAATACACGTTGTCTCTCATTCGTAAGTAACAGCTGGAAATGTGGATTCACGTGTAGATTATTTTATGCAAAACACTGGAATGGTTTGTTTTTACACCATGGACTTGACAGATAAGAAGCTTCACGGTACCATCTACTTAAAAATGAACACAGCTGGGAATTCAGAAACATCCTCTTCCCCACTTTTCCTTTAGCGAAACAAACAAAAGAAAAGATAAAAAAAGCTTTAAGACTTGGTTTATGATGGGAATACCATTATATAGTCAACATTTCAGATTTTTATTGTATTACATCTATTAAAGTTTCTTTTTAGTAGGTCAGATCACATCCTGGCTATTTTCATATGCTTTCTTTCTGACATCAAAAAAGCTGTGATTGCATTTTTTTTTTCCTCTTACTACACTGTTTTGCAGCCATGCAATGCTTGTCCCAAGGTAATGCGTGAGTTTTTGCTGTGCTCAAAAAAAAAGGTTGCCTTCCAATTAAATATCTCTACAAAAATACAGCATCAACTTCTGCATAAGATTGTTTTAATTTGTAAACCACAGAGAAAAATATGTATATTTGACTGATTCATTAAGTACTTATTTAATCAAGAAGAGAGGGATTATAATTATGTTTAATTTCCAAGTTTTTTAGAACAGAATATGCAACTTAAGGCTAGTGTGTCTCCTCAAGCTTGTAAGTATCTAAAATTTGTAGCCAGTAATGTATCTCCAAAATACACTTGAAATAACTAAGGAAATAATTTTTTTTAAATATTACACTACCTCAGGTTTTGCGTAGCCTGATTGTGTGGAACATATTTATTCCCCATGAGGATGTGTGCGAGTGACAGGACTAGGGTGTGAAAAGAGTATTTATCAAGTGTGGAAAAGATGTGTGTTCAGATGTTGTTTGCAAAATTTTTTGTGATGTATTTTACAGAACAATCCAGTGCCAAATATGTTTTGTAGTATGTACATCTCGCTGTATTCTGCCTTTAGTATTTATGTGCTTTGAGGTTATGTAATTGCTAATAAAATGAAGCAAGTTTTGCCAGTCATTTATAGTAGCCCTTGGCAAACTTTCAGTTCCAACATGGCTTTGTTTCATGGGCTTTCTCTTTGTCCCTTCTGCTTGGTCTCTGGGGCAAATTGTCTATATTATGTAGCTTAACAACGTGTGAAGTGTAGATGAATTTATGGAAAAAAAACCCCTAATTCTTTACCAGGGAGGTACAGCCACAGCACAGTAGGGGAGCATGAGAAATGAGGGCACACAGTACCTGTGAGGCATGAAAAGATGAAGAGACAAAAATCACAAGTCTTTGTGCCCCTTCCTCTCATTCAGTGCCTTAATTTTGGGCTCAGGCCTCCCTGTTGCATAAAGGATGGAATAGTTGTTTTAAACAGTAGTTCTTCACCACTGTGAGGGCGCCATATAAGACCCATCTACACTGTCAAAGGAAAAAAACCCTAGAAGTTTTCTACACATCATCTTTTGTTATCTCTTCACAGCAACTGGATATACTTTTTTATTTTTATTATTTGTCCTTATTCCTTAAAATGGGACTGTTTCGGATTAGGAGCTTGGACCTACTGACATTTCATTGAATGATGAAACTCTGTAAACTTCTAATCTTGGAGAAAAGAGGACCAGACCTTACAGGTTCCATTTGCAAATGCAACTCTCTGTTTATATATAAATAATAATATTTCAATTTGAAAATATATATGCAGAAAAGTAGTTCAAAGGAACATATAAGGCAAAACTAAGTTCTGACTGAATTCTGTGTTTTGAGTTAAGTTGTCTTGATCTTCCAGTGGTCTTCTAAACTAGTTCTTTTCCCAGGATGCCCTTAGCCCTACTAGGGCTTAGCAGACACAGATTTTGGTTAAAAAATAAAAGCATGACTAGTGACTATGATTTAATTGGTTATAAAAGGAGATGTGATCAAAATGTTGCTTCTCCTCAAATCTGTTTTGGGTGGTTGGCTCTTTGGACATACAGCTCTTTATATGAGTGATGTTGTTTGCTGGGGGGGGAGGGCGTTTAATGTTTTTTGGGGGTTTTTTTGTTCGTTGTTTTTTTTTTCCCCTTCAGATTAGGAAAGACTGCATCGCATGAGTTTACATAGTTAAGTTACTTTTTTCCCACTAATGTTTATAGGCTGCAAAAAAAAGGTAAGGTACAGATAAAAATTAAGTGATAAATTTCTTGCTCTTTTCTAGGAAATGGTGAGCTTCAGGTTCAAATGCTAAAAGAAAGACACATTATCTTTTTTTTTTTCCGCCTTTGAAAACAAAGCTAGTAGTTTAATCCAGCCTGTTTTAGAAAGTTTAGGTTTGACATTTATATAATGATTTCATCCATCAGGTCTAACTTGCAAAAGTTGCAGTTGTACTGCTCAGGGAGTCTGTGAACAGAACACTTCTTGTCATTTTAGAGGAATATACTTTTTAATGAAGTACACAGAAGGGAAGGTTCTGGAAAGAGTAACTATTTGTCAGTACTTATTCTTGACCACAGTGCTTCAGGTGCTCTGTTATACTGCGCAGGTATCTTGGGCAGCATGTGAAGGTGTTTCGGATAATGTATGTGCTGCAGTTCAGACCACTGACAATAACAGCCTTTGCCTTGGAGATCAAACAGTACCCAGAAACTATTAATTTTACTTAAATATTGAGGTAGTCAAAGAAGATTTTCATAACTTTGCCGAACTTTCACTGGTTGGGGGGAAAATTTATAATGGCATACCTAAGCCTTGTTTTAGTTTATTTAATTTGTGTGTAAAAGTTCCATTGAAATGTGGCTTGCTTTAAAATTAGGCAGAGGAAAAAAACGTGTTTCCTGGTGTTTTAAAAGTTTTTGCAACTTTTACCATGTGCCCCTCTCCTTGAAGTGTAGTTGAAAAAGGATGAGGGATTTGATTCCAGGGATGTGTCTTCCATTTGCATGACAAAGCATCTGTATTTTGCCAGGATACAAGTCTTTTCAAAAAGATGCATTTGCATATGCTTAGGTCTTACTAACTGTAATCTGTGAATATTTTATCTTTCCTGAGAGCGAAGCAGATAGCAGCATCAGAGGGGAGAAAAACTGGGAATGGGCAGATACTGGGATTACAGGAGAGAAAAACTGGGACTGGGACTGGGTAGATACTGGGATCAGAGGGAAGAAAAATTGGGAGTGGGCAGATACTGGGATCAGAGGGGAGAGAAATCAGGAGTGGGCCGATCCTGGGACCGATCCTGGTGGTAAGGCAAGTGTAAATATGAGCAGTTGTAGGCTGCAGCTGTGAGATGCCAGGACACACAGATAACCGGGGCTGGCTCCTGAAGGAGGATGGAGGAAGCCAGGGTGGAAATGGCCAGTCTGGAGAGAGGAGACAAAGAATTGCTCCCTAAGGGAACTGGCATTAGGATCAGAGATCTGGGTGGGGGCTGGTGCATCCAGACAAGGGAAGCAGACTTGGTGCAGAGCAGGGAGCAGAGCCAGGACAGCAAAGGAGGCAGGTCAGGAAGTGGAGGGTTTTTGTTAAGTTAGGAGGAACATTCTGTCCCACTAGGTGCTGGGAAAATGACCATTCCTTTGCTGCCCCTGGGAGACTGAGAGGTAAATTTCTTATCTTCAAGACAAAACCTACCAACACTTATGCAATACTGACTGACCGTGGTAGTTCTGAAATCTGCAACTCAGAGATGTCAGAGCTTTGGGAGGGAAGGATGGAATTTGCCATTCAAAATCAGCTGGAACAGTGCGTCTCTGTGTCTGAAGTGCAGTGTCTGGGTGCTGTGCTTGCATTCCCAATAAGATTCTCTTAACTTGGAAAGTGTGGGTATATACCAAGCGCTGTTCTCACTTTGCCCTCATTTGCATGTTCACTGATTTTTTTTTCCTCTGGAAAAAAACCCCACATCAACTCCCTGCAC